TTCATGCTCAAAAAGGCTCACGTTGTTGTTTCTTTTGCAATAAGGGAGTAGTTTCTTTGTGTCTAATAGCAATGGCCTCCAAGCTAAGAGCGATGGCCTCCAACCTAATAGCAATGGCTCACGCCTTTGGTAGGGTTAGCTTACCTTTTTTTCTCTAATTAACAAACCAGCTTCATACTTTGTAGTGGGTGTGTCCCAAACATAAGAACCTCTCCACCTCCTTCTTGTCCGCCTGCAGCAGTCTTTCGTGCACTCTATACATGCAATGAAATATACACAGTTGTTTCCATTAATTACATGGCAGTTTTACTTTGTTGTCTCATAACTCAAGAACCGAGTTCTGCCTAGAAACGACTCCCACCTTCATGTTCCTGTGCCATTGCAGGTCAATGTTCAGTATGGAACAGTAGTGGATGCTCACCGTGAACACGAACACGAGGGCATCCAGCAAAATGTTCCACGGAGCAGGTCCTCTGAATTTTCTTCGCACCATGTGTTCCGCACGCCTCGTTGGCCAAGAAATGGCACCCCAAAAGACAAGGTGCAGGCCATTGATCATAGGGCAGGCAGCAGGTGGGTTCAGATAACAGCGGAGGATCATGCTGTTTATCCAGCTTTCCTTCATTTGTCAGTTCAGTGACGGGTATGGCAAATATCAGTGTATTTGGGTGAAGGGCTTCTGACCTACTTCCCCCATCAGCGGAATGAGGACCGCCCTGTCTCATTTGTTCCATATTTTGGACTCCTGGGTGGCCTCCTTTTGGGGTCTCCTGAAACAGCCATCGCGGGACCCTGAAAAAAGGGAATCCAATTTGACCAGTTTCCTTCACAACTGTTTGTTTAATGTGTTATTTCTTTTTTCAGGGTCCTTTTGGTGGTGTGAAAGGATGCGGTCCTGGGTGACTCACACTGAATGGCCTGAAGAAGTGACGATCGACTCGATACCTATCGAAGGTGAAGTCTGTCGGACGAGTGACGATCGGTACGTCTCCAAATCGATGGAATCGTCTGTCGACCTTTGCAGAGGTTTGCTGGGTGGTTTGCCACGATCTATGGACTTGAGATTCTGCTGTGTACCCTCAGAACTATGGAAGTAGAGTTAACATATCTGAACAGGTTTGCAGCCCCGCTCTGCGCACGATTCGTTCGATGCTCTCGGGAGCCGCGGGACGCCATTTTCTTCACCGCAGGACTGGGTGGGCTGAGGGCGCTCAGCTCACTGGTACTGGAACTTGAAAAGCTCCGGCAGAAAGCAGCGCCAGACGGTGTGTGGTGGTGTTTGCCACGCAGATGAGAATTTCTGGGGAAGATCAGAGTCGTGTGGTTATGGGTTTGGAACCCATTTTTCATGCAACGGCTGGAGGAGACGATCCCACTGGATGGTGTGATGGTTCTCTTGCTCCGCGATTGGAGTTCGCCGAATGGGCCTCCCCCAAAGCCGAAGTCGGTGGGGGGGGCGCAACTCGGTTTGGTCCTCCACTACGTCAGTCGAAGCCAACTTGGTTGAGCTTAATCCTGAAGCCAACTTGGTCGTTGAAGTTCGGTTGTTGAAGAAATCCGAGCCAAGGCATCACAAAATATGGGGATAGCGGCATCACCTCTGCCTCCGGATTTCTTTCAACCCCTTCCGTGCGTCTGGACGCCTTCCGTGCGGGGCTTCCCCTATTCCGCGGGTTGAACACATTGGCTTCTCCTGATGGAGGGGCCCCTGAGAGAAATTCCAGTGGGACGTGCGGGACGACTGGGGTTTCCGCCCCGGAGAGGTGCTTGGAGAGGTGGTTTGTTGCTTGTCGAGCTGGCACTCTTGTCGGGTGTAAAGATATCGATATCAGCCAGTGGGCTTCGTGAGGGAGTGAAGGCATTTGGCTTCTTTTCTGCACTTGGGTGACGCTCCTTGGCAGAGGGTCCTTCAGTTCCCGTGTTCTCAAGTTTTTCAAGGAGTAGGGTGACACAGAAGGGATTGGCTTAGCTCATAGAAAAGCCAAAAAACATTGGGCTCAGCTATACAAAGAAGTTCCGCGTCTTTGTGCAACTAAGGGCAGTTTCTGTCACGAAGTCGACATTGCACCGAAGGGCAGCAACAGATTCGCAAAGACTTTTTATCATTTTCTGTTTTCTTTGGCAAGAGACTCCGACATGGAGGCCATCCACCCAATGATTGAGAATAGTAAGTCCATATATAAGAGATAGTGCGTTTGGTTTCAGATGGTGAACGTAGACGACGTAGTCCAAAGATATTAACGATACATCAGCTTATAGTGGTCCGCAAACCAATCGAAGACAGCCCGGTTTTCCCCGAGGCTCGCAACATCGATAAACTCAAAGGGCAACCTTTCGATTTGTTTGAGGGCCACGAGAAACACATTGTTGGACCTAATCAATGGAATCTTCAGGTGTTCGGATGCTTCTGATGGTGATCGGATGCTATGACAGAGACTTCATGTCAGTCTTATGCATGATTTTTTTGTTCTTGTTTTTGTCTTCTATATTAAGAATAAACGCCCGATCATCAACAAATGCTTGAAGATTCCATTGAAGTCCCCTTCCGACACAACCACGACCTTCCCAGGCCCTTTGACTTCGCTGTTCTTCATGAAGTCAACCTCATTGAACTCTTTTGAGCCACCAAACGCTCCGTGTAGAGCTTAGTGCCTTAGCGCGAAGGAAGGACAGGTGCGGGTCGTCACCGGCGCCGCCAGTGCTCAAACGATGGCGGTGGCGCCCGCGAGGGCGGAAGCGCAAGGCGCACGTTGCTTCGGGGTCGGGCGGTGCGAATGGTTCTTCATAGATTTGTACTGTCGATGGCCTCCAAGCTACTAGCAATGCCCTCCACCCTAGTAGTGCGATTTCTACATCTTCTTACGTCTTCCAATACGTATGAGTTGATGACTTGACGTATCAGGATGGAGTCCCAAATCTGGCAATTGGGGTTGCGTTGGGTTGTGGACGACCTTGTCGACACAGCAGCCTGCGTTCGTGACCAAGTTCGCCGATTCGGCTTTGGAAGCTACTTGTGTGCACACGGACCGCACGTGTTTACCGCTCTTCGAGGTGATTTCGGTCCGGGATGAACACATGGAATTCTGATTTCACCAGCCCTTCAAGCCCAAAATCATGGGCTGGGAGGACTTGGACTCTGGGCTTTCTGGTTGGGTTGGTCGCGAACAAGATGGATGGCCCCTTGGTGAACTAGATGTTTTCATGGAACCCCGGAAACAAGCGTCAAGTTGTTCGCTCTTGGAGCAACGTTTGGTTGTTCCAAGCAGGTCCGATCAAACAATTCCAAGGACTCAGGTGGTGTGAAATTTTTCCACGCCCCGTTCACCAGCGAAAAATGCCATTTCCGCATATCAAGTCATGTGCAAAGACCTCATTGTGCGGAATCTTGGCGAGTCTGGGCACCCAGTCGACTGTGCACCTGACTGGGCACCCCGACCGTCGAAGGACGCCCCTCGTGGAGAGGGGCCAGTGGGCGCAAGCAGCCCGCAGGCGGGGGGGTCGTTCGCCCAAAGCGCCAACGGAAGGGGCTTGGGCTCAGAAAACATGGGGAGCTAGAGCCTTAGCACACCAAGCGTGCCACGCTCGTTTCTTTTCTTTGAGATGTGCTAAGCTTCGTCGACGCGTTCAGCTTCGCTTTTGGCCCAACGGCTCCGAGGGGCGAATGTGCACACGGTGTGGCGCTTAGAGGGTGCGACCGAAGCACCGTGGTGTGAAGCGGCATCTTGGTGTGAAGCGGCTGAAAGAAAGCTAAGGACCGAGATTTCTCAAAAACTCGGATGGATACATCAAACTTCATCAAACACAGCATCTTTTCAGAGGCGCCAAAAGAGGTTGGATCTAAAGCTGGCTACGATTTGTGAGGGGACTGGCGACAATTCGGCGGAATTCAGCGGCTCTGGTTTTGTGACACGAGTGGAACGCACCTGATAGGTGAACGGAGCCGCTCGATGTGATCACTTTCTGATGTGAACGGAGTCACACCAGATCTATGTTTGTGAGAATAGATTGATAGGCGACTGATAGGTGTGAAGTGATGACCTCTAAAACAGCAGTATCTTGTCGTATTCTCAACGAATGCAGTGGGTGTTTCAAAGCTCAACACATAACCACTTGGTGTCCAGGTCGTTTCCTTTCACCACACCGCATCTCTTTGACCAGAGCTCGTTTGGCTTGTGGGATGAGTGGGATGCGGCGCATAGTGTGCCAGGGGCGAAAAGAGCGTTTGGTACGTCAATGCCACATACATACCCCCAAAAAAACCATTTGATCGGCAATGACACTTTTTCTGTGTCATCGACATCGGTAAAGCTCGACATCGGAAAGGACAGGAGCCAACTTGGCATCCAACATCAGCTCTTGGACACCCGACCGGTTAACATCAGTTTTGCTCGTTGGTGGTTGGAATGCCTTCATTCTCTGACCAGCAGCATTCCCCATGTTATGCTTGGCACCGCGGAGCCAGGGTTTTAAGATGTTGTACGTTTTGATTCCCAAGCAGAATTGCACGGCATTCCCCGGAGAGCCAGGAGTTGGGGCAGGCAAGTTGTGGGGCACATGGTGATTACCTAGCAATCCCCCATCTGCTTGCATCTCTCCAGCAACTAGTTTGACACTGTTTCCGTTTTCAACGCTCCTGTGAGTGTTTGAGGGGGTATTGTGTAAAGAACGATCGAAAGACACATCCCACTTTGATTTTGGGAGACCTCAACGACCACGGTACCACCGTGGGTCCGTGGTCTTTCGATCCTGTGATCCTTTTGGATCGGCTCCAGCGGAGAGGTGAAGACCGTGAAGACCATGCGATCAGCCACAGTAGAACCACCGCCAAAACAAATGCCACAAGAACGGCCAGGTGGATTTTCCACAGAACAACGGCCAGGTGGACCAGTCGAGGTCGTCCAAAAAGTGTGGCCCACTCCGAAGATTCATTTGGAAACTGAAGAGAGAATCCTGAGTGGCGCTCCAAAATGGCCGTCCCCCAAATGACCCAAGCAGACCCACTGGAGTTGCTCCACATCCCAACGCATGCGACGTTCTCGCTGCCGACGTTCATCTTTCGCTTGAAGCCCGGAACTTCCTCGCCATGCGGAGCTTTCATGGAGGCCTTGACTCGGCCTTGACTCCCCGACGAATCGCATCACTCTTCGCGAAGATGGAGACATCTCGATTTGTGTCACCGCAGATTTGTTGGAAGTTGAATCCCTTTCAGACCGAAAACACAATGGTTTTGAATGGTATTGACACAGGTTCGGTGATGTTAAGCATTCCTCCAAGTTGGAAGCAGACCTTGGACAACCCATGAGCCCAATGCAATCACATGGACTGGCGACACATTTTTTTTTGATGTTTGAACCTCGGCCCCAAGCTCTGAGTCGTTAGTCGTTTAGAAAGGGGAAAAAGTGGTGGCAAAATTAGGACACATAAGGAACAATATCTACAGACTTTCGTCCAACGAAGTGCATCCATTTCGACTCCACCGAAGCACACCTCCGCACACCTCCACCCTGTTGCATTCGGAACTTCGTCACGACCGGCAGGTGCTTTGAGGCATTTGAGGGCTCGTGGCCTCGCAGTGATTTGGACCTGGACGGTTGACGGTCCGTCGATTTGGAGCTGGGACGTGGCGGGTCGAGCTGGGGCACTCGAAGGACAGGTCCATTTCGCAGCAAAACACTGGTCAGAGCGGCCATTGCCCAGGTCGGTGCCCCTCACTCAAAAAGGCGGACGTCGGACGTGGGACGTCGGTCGCACAGGTCGATCCTGCGATTTGAGTCGGAAGAGTCTGGAACAAGAATCATGTCATAGTGCTCGTTCACTTCGGCCCAAAAGAACAGGGAAAAGGCAACAACCCACTCACTGGTTGGTGGTTTCGTGCGGGTAGAAAGCTTCCCTCGGGGCTCTCCTCTTGATGGCTGTAGTGGAGTGTGGTTCTACAAGGTTCTACATACCATCGAAGATGAAGTGTTGCAGTGTTGAACTGAATTCAAGAGCTTCACAGGGTGTGGGCCGAGGGAGGTCATCCCTGGGTGAACGTGAACAGCCAATTTGAACGTCCTTCCGAAATCGACTCTGGTTGTGTATTTGGTTGAAGCAAGAAGCTACTAGTAACAAAGGGCATCGCTACTAGGAGCGATCGGACGCTACTAGGGGCTCCTGGCCTTACTACTAGGAACAAGAAGCTACTAGGGGCTCCTGGCATCGCTACTAGGAGCGATCGGACGCTACTAGTTGTGTATTTGGTTGCCACAAGTTGAGACCTTGCGAGGGCCATAAGTGGACTGAGTGCGTCTGCATCACTGAGACCGATGTCTTTCAGCAGCAGCACTTCAACTTCCCTAAGGCCGCTACTTCCGATATTTCCTGCCTGGGAGGCATCGCTCTTAGGTTGGAGGCCTTCGCCAATAGAAGCTAATTAAATTACAGTAGGTTGGATTTTGATTTGTATTGGTACTGTGAAGGGAAGCTATCCGCGTCGCCCTGGAGCCCCAGAAGCTCGCATCAGTTTTTTCGCCAGAAGCGTTGCAAAAGCACTTCTGACGGGATGTTGGGCAACGACGGGACGTTGGAGCCTTCCCTGTGCAGGCCTACGAGATCATCGGGCAGCGCACCCTGAAGAACCCCAGCCGGAAGACGGAGCGATGACCGCTGAGCTGATTGATCCAACCATCGGATGCGGCTTTTCACCAGCGAGGTATGACCATGTAGGTGAGTTGCACATGTGATTGCCTGGAATTTGGGTGACCACCTTCCTATAGTTTTTTTCTTTTTTTTTTGCAGAACTGGTCAATATACACAGAATAGATGGGATCTTCATCTGTTTTCTATGTCTAGGCCTTTTTTGGGAGGCCAGGTTGATGACTTCCATTCTGCCCCAACATCTTCTTTTAGGCAGGAGTGATCGGACGCTACTGGTAGCTCCTGGCCTTACTACGAACGGAACAAGAGGACGAAAAAACGAACGGAGCATTTCGGGCATCGCTACGAGGCCAGCGGGTTGCGTGCGCTACGACTGCAGGAGATCATCTGCACCATTGGACCCAAGTCCTGGGACCCCGAGGCCGAAGGTTTCGGTTTGGTCGTTTCTCGGAGGTCCAAGGGCCGAAGGTTGGCTTACAGGACCATTACGACACCGTCGTTACTTCCTTGGGATGCCATATTTCAAGTTTTGGGGACGAAGAAGACCATATTTTAGCATATTTTGCATCTTAGCATATTTTGCTTTGATTCCTTTCTTTTCGATCTTGTCATGGACCCAGAGGGGGGTTTCCAAGAGTGGTTGGAGGTTGCTCGTGGAAACCAAGGGAACCTCGGAGGGGTGCCTCCATTAGTTCTTTTCATGAGGCGGGAGTGAACCGGATGGCCACGGCTCACGGCGCTCGCCTTAGGGGTCCACCGGTGAACACCACGACCGCGTGACATCACTGCCAGGTCCTGGCTGGCTTGATCGATGCGGGGATGAACACCGTCCGCCACTTGATCGCATGAAGCAACTGGGAGGATTGGAGAGATGAGAAGCTCACGCAGAGTCGGTTGTTGGCACAGAGGATCCATGTGGAGCCTACAAGACTGGTTTGAGAGGACCATTTTGTTTTTCAGGTGAACTTAAAGCGAACAAACAAGTGTGGACATCACGTGTCGCAGGCACGTGAACCAGGCGGCTGGTTGAGGCTGGTTGTGGACGGTGCATACCACCGGTCAATGAAGGGAACCAGTGAAGTCTCGACATTGCAACATGATTCACTTAGGAACAAGGACGAAAACGAACGGAGCATTTCGGGCATCGCTACGAGTCCGGAGCGATCGGACGCTACGAACGGGGCTCCTGGCATAGCTACTAGGAACAAGACTAAGAAGCTACTATAGTAACAAAGGCATCAAAAGCGTATCCACCTCACTTAGCCTTGGGCTTCAAGGGCTTCAAGGCACCCACAGCTTCGCACTGAGGCTGCAACATGTCCCACGGCGACCACGCCGAGCAGACGATGAAGTTGCAGAACTTGGAGAAAGCTTATCAGCTTCGACCCGAGGCTGCGGTGAAGAAAGAGAGAGAGAGAGAGAGAGAGATGGATGCCCAATGAACTGAAATTTGTAGTCATGTTGACTTTCTGTGAATGCAAAGCCAACGAACAGGACATCCAATTTGCTCTCAAGAGTCCTGCAACATTTCTCCATCCTTAACAAGGACGCTTCTAGGAGCAAAGGGCATCGCTACTAGGAGCGATCGGACGCTACTAGGGGCGCTCCTGGCCTTACTACTAGTAACAAGAGGATGCTACTAGTAGCGTCCGATCGCTCCTAGTAGCGATGCCAGGAGCGCC